TTGACCTCTCTTAGCATGCATTTTATCAGCTGCTATTTCCAAACACTGAATAATTCACTGAAGATTTACTTATGAAGCCAGCTGAGATAACACTTTAAATATGGGCTATTTTTGGATACAACATGTTTTTATCCAACAGTTGAATTTTAATGTTTCTCTCATGCTTTTATTACATGAGTTCAAGAACCAAGAGGTTGGCGTTTGCCAGATATCTCTACTACACCCAGTGGCTCACTCATAGATTTTGCTTTGCTTTCTGTTCCTCTGCCTCTGAACTGTTTTTAGGGTTTGTTTTTTTTAAATTTAGAGATGGGGGTTTCACTCCATCACCCAGGCTGAAGTGCAGTGGCACAATCATGGCTCACCACACCCTCAGACTTCCCTGTGTTCAAGCAATCCTCCCACCTCAGCCTCCCAGGTAGCTGGGATTACAGTTGTGCACTACCATGCCCAGCTAAGGAATTTTTGATTCTTTATGTCGTTGATTATCGGGCAAAAAGAGGGTCACTATGTGAATTGGGGTGTTTTATGATACAGATGCTGCCACACAATGAGAGCAAGGGATACAGAAGGAAAATAGGATTCTCTGTTCTTGTACTACTATACACAGTGGCCAAAAAAAGAACCAACAAGAGCTTAGATGTGTCAGAAATAAAGCTTTGGTTACTATATCAGGGATGAAACCAAATTAGCCAAGGTAGTAGCCAAACCAAAATAAAATAGAAAAGAGGTCTCATGACCAAGTGCTTAAAACAAAACAGTAACTTGTATCTGTATTTTCTTGCTCTCATATACAACATATATTTTAACAAATTTCCCATCTCTATCCTATGTCTTATAAATATTAAAATAACTATTTAAGCTGGGTGTGGTGGCTCTTACCTGTAATCCCAGAACTTTGGGAGGCATAGGTGAGAGGACTGCCTGAGTCCCAGGATATGAGACCAATCTGGACAATTTCGTGAGACCTTATCTCTACAATAAATCAAAAAATTAGCCAGACGTGGTGGCAAGTGCCTGTAGTTCCAGCTACTTGGAAGGCTAGGGTGGAAGCAATGACTGAGCCCAGCAGGTCGACGTTGTAGTGGCTGAGATTATGCCAGTGCACTCCAGCCTGGGCAACAGAGACAACTCAAAACCAAAACCAAAACAGCAACAACAAAGCACAACTATTTAGTGTAACTCACAAAATATCAAAAAGAGAATGTGGCAAAACCAGAATAGCATAATTTGAAGGTCCCAGTTTTAGCACTGTATGTAATAAATAACGCCTACGTTGTTAAGAAGTTTGGGAAAGGGTTTGTGTGTGAAAACTGATCAGCCAAGAGTAAACTACTGTGATTTTTTGCTTTTATTGGTTGCCTGATATCCACTCAGCCATCCCAAAATAATTTCAGATGCTGCCTTCTATTAGAGAAGCCAAAAGGAGTAAGCACATGGTCTAATCTTGGCCAACGGGGCACTCTGCAAGGATTCGTTTTCATTAGCCTGACCAGGCTACTCCCACTACCAAACATTGCCCTTACTTCCTCAATTCTCTGACACTTTCTAGGTTCCTGCCCACCAATTCTGAGAGCCACGAGATATTCTTTCAACAAATTCTTCTTTCCTTAGATGGTTTCTGTTGTTCGCAATATAGGAACCTGACATAATCAAGAAAATGGATAGAAATAGGCAAATGGACAAATACAGAAAATATTTTTTAATCTGGCTTACCAGAAGTCTATCATCTTTTCAAAGAGGCCACATTTGGTAATGGATATTGGCCCTATATTTTGGTATTATTCTCCATTGCTTGGATCCTTATCTTTCCCATCTCGTGTTTCTTTTTTGTGGACAGGCAGAATGGTTGCTCTGCTTTTTATTATTTTAGAATTAGGGGGTACAAGTATATGTCTGTTACATGGACATGAATACTGGTGGGAACTGGGCTTCAGGTGACCCATATAGTGAAATTTGTGCCCTAATCTCCCTCTCTGCCTCCTCCCTTCTATTGTCCAAAGTCTATTATTTCTATCTTTGTGGCCATTTAGCTCCCACATATAAGTGAGAACATGCGGTGTTTGGTTTTCTATTTCTTAGTTCACTTAGGATGATGTTCTCCAGCTCCACCCATGTTGCTGCAAAGGACATGATTTCATTCTTTTTTTAAGACCGCATGGTATTCCTATACACATGATATGTACACATTTTCTATCTCCAGTCAATCACTGATGGTCACTTAGGTTGGTTCCTTGATTTTGCTATCGTGAATCATTGGTGCTGTAGTGAACATGAGTACAGGTATCTTTTATATTTTTATATGATTTTTTTTGCTTTGGGAGGATACCCAGTAATGGGATTGATGGGTTGAATGGTACTTCTTAGTCCTTTGAGAAATCTCCATGCTGTTTTCAGAGACTGAAGTAGTTTACAATCCCAACAACAGTGTATAAGTGCCCCCTTTTCCCATTTCCACACCAATATTTGTTGTTCTTTGACTTTTTGCTAATAGTTATTCTGCCTGGTGTAAGATGTCATATCATTGTGGTTCTGATTTGCATTTTTCTGTTGATTAGTGATGTTGAACATTTTTCACATTTGCTGGGCACTTGTGTGTCTTCTTTTGATAAGTGACTATTCATGTCCTTTGTCCACTTTTTATTGTTTTACATATTCAGTTGAGTTCCTGGTATATCTTGGATATTACTACTTTGCCTGAGGTCTGCTGCTTTTTGTAACTTTTGATTTGCATTCTTAGTTCATTACTTTTCAATCTAGCATCTATCTTGATAAACGTATTTGAAGTTATAAATTACTTTTACAGTGCTTTACCAAGGTCCAAATTCTGACGTTTTCACTGTAGTTTAAATATTTTGCTAAGTAATAATCTTTGCATTTAGCAGATAAGAAAATTGAGAAACACTAAGCTATTAAGTAGCAGTATTGTAGTTAAAACTCATTATCTTATAAAACTAAAGATTCATTATCCTTGATAACTTTAGTAATATTCTGATAACACTTAAGAATAAGCAAGGTAGAATTGAATTGGGGGACATATTAAATTCTTGAACAAACAGCAAGAAGATTAATAACTATTTAGTTTATCCTAAAACTTTTCTGAAGTCACTAACACTAATCATTAGCCACAGGCACACTATAACCTGTGTATCCTTCCCAAATAACTGAATGGAATGTTGTAAGCTACACATAAAGAGATAAGATCATGAGTCAGTTTCATAATAGAGGTGGATCCCAGCTGCTAGGTAAGCTCGTCTTGACTCATTTTGCTGCAGATGATAAAAGCCAATGTGAACAGCAAAGTTCAGAAGAGAAAAATGTATTAGCTCATGCAACCAAATTTCAAGAATAGTAGGATTGTCACTGGGTTTCAGGGACCAGAAGAATGCCATTAGCAATATCCATGGCAGCCTTATTCTTTTCCACTGAACTTTGCTGAACTATGGCTGCCAGCATTTTCTGAACCTGTCTTCCCTTCCCAGCTTCATAATACCTTAATTTCAAGTTGGAAAATCCTAGGAAGAGACTCACCTGATTTGAGTCATGTCTCTATTTCTGTTTCAATCACTGTAGTCAGCAGTAATGGAAAAAACCTAGAATTAGCCCAGCTTGGGTTAGGTAGCTGTCTTTGGTTATCACTCTCTTTAAGAATGACATATATATTTAGACCATGATTTCCCAAAAAAGAGTGACAGTCCTAAAGAAACAGGATTATAGAAAATGTATTATAGATGTATATATCGCTATATGTATCTATATTAATATATCCTGTGATACATACAGTCATATGTCACTTAATGTCAGAAATACACCCTGGGAAATGTGTTATTAGGCAATTCTTGAATATCATAAGGCATACTTACACAAATCTAGATGGTATAGCTTGTTACACACCTAGGTTATATAGTATAGTCTATTGCTCCCAGACTACAAACTTGTATAGCATGTTACTGTACTAAATAACAAACACAGAAAAGGCAGAGTGAAAATAAAGCATTGCTTTGGTATATGCAATCTGTCATGACCAAAACATCTATGGCATATGACTAATATACATATAGATGTCTCTAGTCTACTGTAATAACATTCTTAGTCATTGAACATAAAGAACCTGGTGGAGCTATTAAAATTGGTGGGGGTTGGGAATGTGATGGGCTGGAGATGAAAGAAACTGATTTTATTATTTGTACATTTCTTTGCAAGTCAAGGGGTGAGGGCCAGCAAGGAAGGCAGGAGGTGAAAATAGATTAATTGAAACCACTCCACTGTTAGGAAAACTTAAGCCATGGAATTAATACTTAGACACACACACACCCCTCCCCCCGACACACCTCTAAACACTTTGGATAATTTAAATTGAAGCAGCATTAGTCATTTTAAACCAAATATTTTTGAATAGTAAAAAAAGTTAGCCTTTAAGAAACCTTGTTTACCTAGTAACAAACATTCAGCAGATAACAGGGGAATACATAGCACATATTCATTTCCCATTTAGCCTGAATAAGTCGTTTGACTACACAACGGTTTCCTAAAATAAGGTTTGCTACAGCCAGGACAGTTTTGTAAACAGTCCATCTTTCTAAAGCTGAGGTGACTTTCTAAACACTTAAAGTATTTGATAACATAGGTAAACAATTAAGACTTAATTCCTAAGAAAACAAATAAATCATTATTATAGAAGAATATTTAAATAGGAAAATTATAAAACTATTATATACTATTTTATATACACCATATATATACATATACACAATGTATATATACATTATATGTATACATATAACTATATGCATATATAGTTTTATTTTATAATACACACTATCAGAATACCTTTTCTAGTTTGTTAACTAAATTTTTGAGATTAAGAACAAATTAGGAAAGGGAAGACCAGTTGAAGACCCAAACTACACATAGATTACTTGTGTACCTGATCCTGACTTGTACCCCACAACTCTATAATAAAATAAAGTTCTTAAAAAAAAAAAACAACAACAAACTAGTTCAAGCATTTCTACATACAAAAATTTCAGGTTAATATTTATTAAAAACAAAATAATGTAAGTTCTATAAGTGAACAATATATACACCAATATAAATATTTGGAATTGTGGAAACAGAAATAGTGAACAGCTTCAAATTTCTCAATATCTTAATGACTTAAGTCATTTACCTTTTTTACAGTAACTTTTTGTTAAAAATAAACTTTACTTGATTTTAAATTTAGGTCAGTGTGCTTTTTTGCTTTTTTTTTTTAAGACAAAAAACTTAGCAAAAATGGCAGGTATTAGGTTTGCACCAGCTAAAAAAATAATGTATACAGTTGTCTAGAAGTCATAATTTTAAAAACATACACATTCAATATGTAGTAGGAAAATATGTAAAAAAAAAAAACACACACACATAAGGAACTATGTCCCATTAAAAATATAAATGCACCTTCTATTAATTATATGTATATAGAAAACTACATATTGATTTAATTTAAAAGTAGTTTCTATAAAATGTTGGAACAGTAAGTATTATTTACTTTCCTAATGTACAAATAGGAAATATTTCTATCTAAACAGTAATATCAGTTTACCTTAGCAAGAAATGCAGTACATACATGGAAAGGTAGGCATTGTCCTGTCTTCAAGTTTTGAGTTTGACTTCCATGAATATGTTTTCTACAACTTTAAGAACTACATACACATAAGTAAAAAGAAGGGGTAAACATCTTATACTTTTAAGAAAGTACTTAAAACTTAATAATCAGTTATTCCCAATGCCTAGACTCTAGAATAATGCTTTAAAAGGTCCTCCATAATGATGGTAATGACACATATCTGAACCACACAATGAACAACAGGTTTCTTGTCTTCTGAATTACGTAAGATGTTATTTCCTGTTATTACAAAACAATCATGATTAAGTTTTGTCAACAATATTGCTCCAGTGTGAGTTTACATGAGGCACCATGCTACAGTAAGAGCAGCTACAATGCCATTCAAAATCGCCATGCTATAGCCCGTGTGGAAAGAATGTCCAGTCAGTTTCCTAGAGAAAAAGAGAGACAGACACAAATCAAAAAAAGAAAATGTAATTAGGTACAACAGAAAGACCAAAAGTGTTCATTGAAAATACTTATGACCTTGGAATATATTTCCCAAATATTTACATATTAATACACAATTTTAAAAAGAATATTGGACATCTGTAGTATTACAAATGGACAGATCTTATTAAGTTCTCTGTCAAAAACTGTACTGGTTAATAAATATAGTTGTTTCAGTTTCATTACTCAGAGCAAGTTGCTGAGTTTCATCCCTATACTTCCTTACTGTGTTTCATTGTCAGTTAGTAGCCATAACTTAATTATAAAGTACAGATATTGCTATATTACAAGCATGATATTTCATTAATCAGTTGTGTGTTTCCCACTCTCTTGTTCTTACTCAATCTAACTTAAAATACACATTATTTCAAGTATTTGTCCTGTTTATGTCATTCTGGGTTATGTGAAGGAACTCTTCTTCTTTGAGCATATGTCCATATGACTGAAAGATCAGACTAAGTCTTTTAAAGACATTTCCGCTATCAACTTAATTGAGGTGGTTTTCAATTAGTTCCTAAGTCACTTCTTTTGTTTTATGATTAGTAGGAGTGCCGACAAGCTTGAGAATTTTTATGTGTACAGATTTTCCCTGACATTTGTTTCCTTTATATTGTAACAATCTTAACTACCTTTTCTTTCCTAACATTCTTCCCACTAACTATACTGCAATAATACTCTTTGCTTCTAATAAGAAGGAGACATACTAAAAATAAAAGAAGGTAGTGTCCAATAGGTATTCTTCAGAAAGCAGAACAGAATATTCTCCTCACTGGAACAATACAAATACAAAAATAGGAAGGTACATGGGTAGAAATAAAAGTCAACAGCAATAATGACTGAGAGGGTCATCATACTCATATCCTCTCCTTCTTTCCTAAGTAGAGATCAAAGCCAGGTGAGTACTTAGCTCTGAATTAACACCTGAAGATCACCTCATAATAATAACTCCAGATCCACGAGATCTGTGGCAGAGAGTGAAGAAGGTACATTCTTCAAAGAACAACCCCTTTGCATTCATCTGAGCCACATAAGATACTGATGCATCCTGATGGTATGCTGTTCTGGTCCATGGGAGATACTATTTGCTCTCAACTTGTCCTCATCCAACTAGGGTTAGTTTAAGATGCTTCTCATGGCTGGGCGCAGTGGCTCAGCCAGTAATCCCAGCACTTTGGGAGACTGAGGCGAGAGGATTGCCTGAGCCTGGGGGTTCGAGACCAGCCCAGGCAACTTGGTGAGACCTCCTCTCTACAATAAATCACAAAAACTAGCCGGGCTTGGTGGCAGATATCTGTAGTTCCAGCTACTTGGAAGGCTGGGGCAGAAGGATCACCTAAGCCCAGCAGGTTGAGGTTGCGGTGGCTGTGAGCGTGCTGTGCCACTGCACTCCAGCCTGGGCAACAAGAGTGAGACTCCAACTCAAAAAAAAAAGATGCTTCTCATGTGCTGGGCTATTAAGGGTTAATTTACCTAGTTATATTATGCACTACATAGTAAAACAGGTATACTTTGTCACTTTAAAAAGAAATTCCTCAAACATATATTGATTAGTAAACAGAAACCTAATAATAAAACTAAACTAGAAGTATTAGTATTTATTGTAAAAAAAAAAATTGTGAAGATTCGAAAAACTTTTAAATTAATACAGTGAGTCTTCCCTGAGTGGATTCCATATCCATGGAATTAACCATCCACAGATAGAATACATTTGGGAAAAAAATTACATCAGTATAGAACATGTACAGACTTTTTTTACTATCATTCCTTAAACAATAGAGTATAGCAACTATTTACGTAGTATTCACATTGTATTAGATATTCTAAATAATCTAGAGAGCCGGTCTTGGTGGCTCAGCCTGTAATCCCATGCCTTTGGGAGGCTGAGGTGAGTGGATTGCCTGAGCCCGTGGGTTCGAGACCCGCCTGGGCAGTGAGACCTCATCTCTACAATAAATAAAAAAATCAGCCGGGAATGGTAGCGCATGCCTGTAATTCCAGCTACTTGGAAGGCTGTGGCGGAAGGATTGCTGGAGCCCAGCAGGTCGAGGCTGCGGTGGCCGGGAGCGGCCACTGCACTCCAGTCTGGGCGACAGAGTGAGACTCCAACTCAAAAAAATAAATAAATAAAATAAATAAATAAATAATCTAGAGATGCTTTAAAGTATACAAGAGGATGTGTTTAGGTTATATGCAAATATTAAGTCATTTTATATAAGAGACTTGAGTATCCCCAGATTTTTATACCTGTGTGGGGTCTTGGAACCAATCCCTCTAGAAACTGAGGGATCACTGTACTCACCAAATGAAGTTAATCATGGTACAGAGTTTCCAGAGTTAATAGTTCTATTTGACTAGTCTGTGATCTCCACAAACTCACAGAAATAGAAAAACTTCTAAAGTTCAATTTGCTAAATCTGTCACTACAATGTTGGTATAAATTAATTTTACTGAGATGAACATGCTCAAATATTCAGCGACTCTTTCTAAGCAGGCAAGCAATACATTTTAATGACAATGAAAAAATGCTCTGGAGCAAGGGTTCTTAGTTCTTCTGCCATCTCAAGTGCACATATTCCTACTGTGAACATCATAGCAATTGTCACACGTCACTGTTAGGCAAAGGACTTAAATCTTTGAAGACTCATTTGCTTTAAAGTTTCCTTTCAAAATATTCACCATGATTTTCCTTTTTGGCAGAAGATAAGCTCTGCAGGTTTCTCTCTTGTGGCTCTAATTTGTGATTTCTAAAGTCTGTTAATAAAGACTGTAGGCATTATGGTTCTCATTTGTCAAATCCTTCACTTATCTGTTAGAAGACTTGTTTAAACGAACTCACGTATAATGAGAATACTATCTTCAATCAATAAATTTAGCATTTTAAATAAATGGTGACTAAATATAGTATCTATTTTATCTAATCTATACCTATATATGCATTCTGCTTTCTAAATTAAAGCATACCATTAACATCTGCATGCTGATCAGTGAATCTTTACCATGGTATACCCTCGTGTACCATATTTAAGATAGAGCACAATTCCAGACCCCAAAAAAGCTCCCCCGTAAATATCTAACTTAGCTCCTCCAAATCTTAAAGTAACTTCAATATTGAGAGCTGTCACCATGACTGGTTTCACTTGCTTTTGAAATTACATCTATATGGCATCATACAGTATGGATTTTTCTGTTTGGCTTGTTTCGCTCAATATTATGTTGGTGAGTTCCTCCATGTTGTATGTAGCACTAGTTTGCTGTTTTTTATTGCAGTGTATAAATATACCAACATTTATTTGCCCATTCTACTACTGATGGGCATCTGAATTAATTCCAGTTTGGGGTTCCTATATATAGAGACACTGTGAACATGTCTTTGGTGGGTGGTGAGCATCTGAACTCATTACTCTTGGACAGATTCTAGGAGTGGAACTGCTGAGTTATAAGGCAGATATAAACTTGGCTTTGGTAGGAAGCATGAAACATTTTCCTAAAATAGTTGTACCAATTTACACTTTCACCAGCAATATATAAGCTGCTTTACATCATAACCAACACTTGGTATTATGAGTCTTTTAAATTTTAACCATTTTAGTGGTATGTAAAGTAAGTTGTGGTTTTACTATTTATTTTTCTGATGAATGTACTTATTCATTCAGATATTCTTTTTTTGCAGTTCCTGTTCAAGTCTTTTGCTCATTTTATTGTTGGTTTATAAAGTTCTTTATATATTCTAGATACAAATCCTTTGTCAGAAATACGTGTTGTAAATGTTTAAGGTTTGTTTTTTCACTCTCATTAAGACCTTTTGATGAACACAAGTTCTTACTTTAAGGAAGTCCAATTAATTAATTTTTAAAGATGGTTAGTGTTTTTTTGGTGGCCTTTTCAATAAATCTTTGACTACTCCATAGTTATGAAGATATTCTATTTCTTAGAGAGTTTACGACTCTTCTTTCGATATTTAGATTTATAATTCATCTCAAATTAATGTTTTTTTGGTGTATTGTGTAAGGTACAGGCTAAGACTTATTATATTCCTTATGAATATCCGATTGCTCCAGTACAATTTATTGGAAAGATCATCTTTTTTCCCTCATTGAATTGCTACAGGATCTTTGTTTTGAGTCACATAACCATATATATGTTGGCCTGTTTTTGAATTTTTCTATTCTATGCTTCTGGTCTATTTGTCTGTCTTTGAACCAATGCCACATTTTCACGATATAGACTCAAAGTTTTATAGTAAGTCTATAGTCTTATACTAAATCGTAGGTCCTTTAATTTTGTTGTACATTTTACATTTTAAAAGGAACCAATACAAACAGCAAACATCACATTTAATGATGACACAAGAGAGGTACTGCTATTAAAGGCAAACAAGACAAGGATGCACACTATCACTGTTATTGCTTCACAACGTCTGGAGATTTTAATGCAATAAGAAAAGAAAGAAGTTATAACACTAGAAAGAAATAAAGTTATTTTTTCAGCTAACAACTATACCTAAAAATTTTAAGTAGCTCCACTTGAGTTTAGCATAGTGATTGGGAGAATATAAAAATAAAATTACTAAAAACATCAACTTTTCTATATATTAAACTAGCATTAGCCAATTCAAAAATTGTATGCTAAAAGATCCCTTATAAAAGTAAAGAAAAATTACAAAATCTTAGAACTACAACTAACAATAACATGTAAGACTCACATGAAGATAACTATAAAACCTGACTGAAGGTCTACATAAATAGATATCTTGTGCTCATGGATTGGGAAATTTAATATTGTTAAGGTGACAATACTTCCCAAATTGATCAAAAGGCTCAATGCAATGTCTCAAAATTCTAACTGCCCTTTTTTTGCAGATATGGA